GCTGGGAATGGAGGAATGGAAAAGCAAATGGAAACTATTAGAATGGGCTTTATAGGGACTATTATAAGGATCCATTCCAGGTTCACGGGACGTCTTGCAGCAGCTTGCACCATTGCAACCTAGGAGACATTCAGAAAAAGTTTTCGTTCCTTGGATGGCAGGGTGCCCGGAATAAAGATGTATTTGATCCTTGCATGTGTCAAACATATGTTCCCCTGCCTGTCAAGATACCTGACCTGCTTGCTCAGCCGCCTTACACGTGGATTGGTGATCGTGACGCTCCCCCTATATGTTCTGGATTTGGGAGGAAGTGCTGCCGATACCGGGCAATGTCATAAGAACTTGTGAATAACGCGCACACACAACCAAGATAGTTCGAAATCCCCCAAAAAGCTTACGGGTTCTTAGTAGGGAATAAGCGAATACAATATTGTATAGGATTTATTTTTGGGTTCTCCTGAATCAGCCATCAACCCTGAACCCTAAACCCGAAAGCATCCTCAGGACGTCGGTTTCCTGAACTCTCTCTATGGAATCGGCTTCATGGTAGCGAACGTGCCAGGTGGCTTCCTGCTCCCACTCATCGGTAGCAAGCAGCTGGGAATTGCATGTGAGAAGTGGCTAGGGTTTAGGGTTTGGGGGAGAACCCTTATATACCCCCTATGTACTATAAGCAGCAGAGGTAGAAGAGGAGTTTTTTTTTTTTTTGGGGGGGTCTCAGGTGCTGCCTTCTTTTGGCCTGCGCGTGCGTCCTGCTTTCGGCTGGGATCTGCTTTGTGACCAATTTGGCCGTGCTCATGCTGTCCCACTTCATTTTGGGCACGGCAAACTCATTGGCCGGCCTGTCACAGCAGACTTACATAGCGAACTCAGCTTCTAGGTCTGTTGACAGCACTGTTTGTGGTTGGCTGTGAGAGGCAACGTTTTTCGTCAGTTTGAAATCAAAAATGCCCTTGTTTCGTTTTCCTGCCAGTTCGCGAAAATGCAACAGCTGCCGAAATCAAAACAATTTATATATGTATATATGTGTCTCTCTCTCTACCCATAAGGGTCCTTCAACCCTAAACCCTAAACCCCACAACCTTTGTAGGTGTCGAAGGAGACTGGGAAGAGGGGCTTCGCACTCAGCATCACGGCATCCCATGAAATGAACATTTTGTTTTTTTTTGGGTTTGAGGGTTCAGGGTTTAGGGGTCTAGGGTTGAGGGTTTGGGGGTTTAGGGGTTTAGGGTTTAGGGTTTAGGGGTTTAGGGTTTAGGGTTTAAAAATAGCTTCAGAGCCTACTAGGTAAGGTCCAGATGGTCCAGGGTCAGGGTGCTGACCTGCCAGAGCTGCGCCTAAAGGATCCACACAATGGAACCCCCCAAAATTATGCCATTGTAAACCCTCAACCCCTAAACCCCGAAACCCTAAACCCTAAACCTTAAGTCCTAAACCCCCGAACCCTAAAACCCTAAACCCTAAACCTAAACCCCCAAACCCTAAAACCCTAAACCCTAAGTGTTGGGCTTGACTACAGGCATCATGGGAGGCCTCCAACGCCTGTCGCTGATGCTGGGGCCCTCTTTGGGCGCACTGCTGCAGGAGCAACGTTCGGGTTCAGGGTTTAGGGTTTAGGGTTCAGGACTTAGGGTTTAGGGTTTAGGGGTTTAGGGTTTAGGGCAACGTTTGGGTTGCTGTTGAGGAATTGAAATTAAGTTACCCCAATGGGTATATACATATATATATATGGTGTATAGGGAATATAGCGTCTATACGTGATACAGGGTTTAGGGTTAAGGGTTTAAGTTACCCTAATGGGTATGTATATATATATAGAGACATATGTA